TGACAAATGGCACTCTGTTCCAACACTTGTCTGAAAACTGTCACATGATACAAGTCAAATCATCTGATGTGATGATGGGGAGAAAGACTACAACAGTAACCAAGTTTCTAATCTTTAAAAGTTTCACTAATTGACCATATGCAATGCTAAGAGCTAGCCTCATACAATTAGTATGACCAAATACGGGTTATTCTCCGTCTCCGAGCACTATGATCAAAAAACATGAACCAAAGAAGTTCAATTATCCATGAGTAGGGACCTACCTAAATCGTGGCAGAAGTTCGTGGCACAGCGGTGCCTCTAATCTCACTCTTTTCACTGTGTACCCCCACCCTCGCCACTGAGTGGCCAAGAGGCAATTACCACCACAGTTTTTGCCTCTCAGCCACTCAGGTAGGTTCCTACCCATGAACAAGTGGAGGAGTATATTCTTTTCACATCTAATGGAGAAAAACTGCAGTAGTTCTATACAAAATAATGTAAAAGACATTCCCAGTCACAGCACCTGAAAAGCAGATGTGTGGGGACTTAAACCTACATAAGGTTGTTAAACCTAAATTACTGCTGTGAAATATCTGTAAACAAAGATATATAACTTGTTCTGCAGGGAAACCCATTTCAGTGGGTTTAATCAATACTCCCGTATTTGACTTCTTCACCTTTTTATAGTGTAACTGAAATACAGTAAAGTAATCTGCATTTTACAAGCACTGAAACAGGACACAGAAGTTACTTACCTGCAATTATGTTTCCCAAAAATGGAGCAGACTCCCCTCTTTACCTGAGAAGCATTATTAGAAGGTGGATTATGAAGCATTCAATAACACCACGTTTTCATCTATAACGTTTCATCCCCGTGTATAAAAATCAGGGCACAGCATCTCTGATAGCAGTGTTCATGTGCACATACAGAAAGTGAGTTTGTCTCAAAATAACCTAACAAATACTGCCAATAAACTCCCTCCACTTCACAGATAACAACTACCCTTTCTTGCAGGTCCCCCTCCACAACTTACTTGATCGCTTATTCTAATGCACTTGCATTCTATAATGGCTTCTAATAATACCTCTTAACTCCTAGTTCATAGCCTTCCTCCATCCCTCTAAGCAGACTTTTTTGTATTTGCATGGAGTCTTTTTCTTTTCCCTGATATTCAGTTCAGTCTGGTCTGACCCTCTCTTAGACCTGATGAAGAGCATTTAATGCCGGATACCTTGTCCAACAGCTGTCCCGACTCCCAACTATACAATTGGTCCAATAAAAGAGAAAATCCTTGCATAGCGGACGTGCATATTTTTTTTATTGCACTCTTACAGGCCACAGTTTGGGTAAGGTTGATCTAGAAGACTTTTCAAATTTAAATTCCAGTTGGTGGTGAAAGAGACGGTTTTCAATTATGTCAGGCTAAAATAGTAATATAAAATGCCAACTAAAATGCAGAGTTTAGTGCTTAAGAAAGAGGAAGATTAACAATCGAGTAGTGCAGGCATAGCACAGAAAGCCTAGACAAATATTTTCCTGCACAAGTCTGCCTTAATCCTATTGTTCCAGCCCTGGGCCTCTGCACCAAAGTTTAGCAATGCTGCTGCCATTTGTTTTCCAAATTGGATTTCCACAGGAAACTCATCATGGCCAAAGCTATTCTGGAGTTCGGAAAAACGTTAAGGTTTTCAGAACACTCCTTAGCATTTCCAATTCTGAAGCGTGTCAAGGACACCAGCCTAGCCAGTCCTATGCAACTCCAACACGGTAACCCAGAGAATCCTAATGCCTTGATATGGCCAGGCCAGTGAGACATTCTTTCAATGTCTTCACCAATTCACCGGACAAGCAAAGAGTGGGTGTTTAATGAGAGATGAAGGATTTGTAAAACATTAAAACCAACAGAATGGCAGTTTGCAAAGGAAAAAATAAATATACTGTAATGATGTGTCTAAGTTACCTCTGTCACAAGCCTACCACCCAACTGGCTGTTCATAAGGCAGCAGCAGCAGGTTGTATCGAGTCTACGAACACATGTGGCTGTTTCAGGCTCCAGTGACAGCTGGGGGCAGGGAGAAGAGTACAGGGGCTGGAGAAAAAGGAGAAGAGGGTAGAAGAAAGGGCATGCCTTAGCTCAGCCCCTTGTGCCCAGATACAACAGCAAGATAAGGATCAAGCCCTTGACAGGGAAGCACTCCACTGACACAAGTAGCGGCTAACCTTTTGTTGCAGTGCACAGACAGTGGTGTTAACCTCACGTAACAGTTCTTTGCAGCTGAGATGTACAGGCGCTGCACAACAACAACTGAGATATATATGCAGCTTAGAAACTGCATCCAATTTTCAATATACAACAACTTCAAGGGAGGCAGAGTATATGGTAGGAGCAAAGAAGGGAGCAGGTGTAAGGAGTGGGATGCAAACCCCATGGGAAGCAGGACAAGTGGGTGTAAAGGGGAAGGAATTGGTGTGAAAGCAGAGGGAGGACATCACAGCTGTGCAGTAACCTCTAACAGAAATTCATCTGTCACAGTCACACTCGCTCTGTGGTCCAGCTAATTTTCTTTCAACCTACTGTAAATACTGGCTATTTAGAACCCAGATTTTTAAAACTTCCCTAGTGACAACCTGGCCTTAACTAGGCAACTAACCAAGCCAGCAAGTGTGAGGACAATCTGGATGATTAAATATAACCCCCCTCCCCACTCCCATTACACCTGTCAGTCAGCTTATGGTTTTCAATTATGTCAGGTTTTCAATTACATCACAACCCAAATATAGCAGCACTGGGATCCTAAGAAAAGGCATCATTCTTCCCTATCAACCTTCTTTACAGCTTGCAACTGGAATCTCAATGATGGATTGCAAGTGTGAGCATCACTGTGGTGTCATACGGTTAATCAATAGACCTGCAATGAGCAACTGCCACTAAGGTTCTTTGACTGGCATGTGAAGCTTTTTTTTTGTGTGCAAATAGTTCCCTCTTATGATTTGAAAACTAAGTTCTAGGACACAACCTGTTCAGCTGCCCACACAGCAGCACGATTCAACTGAGCTCAGAGGCAGCAAATCAAGAATATCTGGCATGTTTGCTCCTCACAATTTCAATAGGACATTTAACACCCTCAAATAAATAGATACTGAAAGCTGTAGTGGAACATAATATATTTGTTAGCACTAAGGAGCACGCATCCTACGTTTCTGAAATGGAAAACTGTCATACTGAAGAGAATGTACGATGCTATGGTGCTTTGCTCAGTGAACATTATTCTAAACCAGGACTGGGAAATTATTTGGACCCATGGGCCACACAGAGTTTTGGTGAGCTGTCGCAGGCTGTCAGCACCCACCCAATGCCACAGTTTGCCAAAACTCCCTAAGTAGCTCTGCCTGGCACTTGGCTGGGATAGGGCTGGGGGCAGGCATGCAGGAAGCGGCATCCAGGGGTGGGACAGGCAGGCAGGGCTGGGGCTGGGATCGCAGGGAGGTGACAGCGCAGGGCCAGGGCCCGGGGCAGAGCTGTGATCTGCTGTCCGCACACCCCTGCAACAGGCGACAGTTCTGCAGGAAGGAGCATGCAGGGAGTGGATTGGGACTTTGCCCTGAGCCCCGGTCCTGCACTGTCAACACGCAGTGATCCCAGGGGCTCCATGGAGACTAACTGGAACTTGCATGGGCAGAGCATGCAGCCAGGAGGATGGGACGGGGTCACAGGCAAGCAGGGAGCTGCAAGCAGGGCTGGGATCTTGGGGTGGTGACAGTGCAGGGCCAGGGACCAGGGCAGAGCTGCGATCCACTCCACACAAACCCCAGCCTACAGAACCCATGTGCATTGCAAGGGTGTGTGGGCAGCAGATTGCAACTCTGCCCTGGCCTCACACTGTCATCACCACACAGCCCCACCCCATGAGCCCAGCCCTCCAGACCCATGCTACTCCCAAACACTGCTCCCTGCCTGCCCACGGCCCCATCTCATCTGCCTGGCCACACACCCTACCCACATAGGTCCTGCCCCCAGCGGTGGGTGCCTGAGTAGTGGTACTGGTCACATGCACCACGGCCTGAGCTGCCCCCTGCACCTGGGCTGGGTGGGACTGAGGGACCCCCCCATAGGCCGGAAAAATCCCTTGGAGGGCCAGATTCAGCCTGCAGGCTGCATTTTGCCCACCCCTGTTAAACACTACAGGACTGCACAACTCTTTACAGCTACAGGGAAAGATATGCTCCCTGCCTCAACCCTCACAACTGCTCTCACTTTTTCCTTCTACACAAGTGCAGGGGGTCCGTGGTACAGACTGTAACTATGGGGATAATCCTACTGATGCTCCAAAAATGTTTGATTCTAGATATCGCAAAGTGGAAGCTCTGACTACAGGCCTGAGCACATAAGTGCCTGCATAAGAAAATGATTTGGGTTTTAGGGGTGACACCGCACAGCACAGCAACAGTTTTGATGGCCAGTGTTCCAAGTCAGCTGGAGTTGAAGCTAATGCCCTTTCATTTTTCCTGTAGGGC